AGAACCTATTGCAATAAAACGGCAATTTCATACTTTAACCCCTAATACTAAATAAATAAAAATATATTTAAATTTATAATGAAGGAAGCTCTTCCAACCAAACATACTAATTCCTCAGTAAAAAAATTACACGCACATTCTAAGCAGGATGCTATTCATTGTTATACAACCTTCCACTTTGCATGTAGAGTACACTATCATAATGAGAATCATTACAGCGCATTCACTCATTATTTCACAACAAAACTGCTGACGGTATAAATAAAATATCAACCGAATTGTGTCAAAATTACAAAAAAAAATATGCAAAAATAAAAATTGTTCACCAGCATCACAATGAGTGAACTAAGTAAATGTTCTCATAAAAAAATCAGCACACAACGAAATATTTATGTACTAAAGTTACCTTGAAATGGTTTAAAAATACAACAATCTACTTTTATTACTAGAAATTCAACAATTCGTCTAAATTTAAATTTTCAAATTTAGAGCACGAATTGTTGAACTCCGTTTTTGGACGAAATTCCTTTTGTAATCTTCAAGCACAATATCGGGCAATTAAAACTTAAAATAGAATTTCTAGATCCTTTTTAAATTAAAAAATAAAGATACAATCATACATTGTCGTAAAATTATTTCTAGTAATTCGGTTTTTTATGCCTTCTCAAAAGTCCTCATGAACAACATCATCAACATCCTCATGACGAATTTTACCGACGAATTATGTTCTCGTGAAGTTTTGACTTTAAATATGACTGAGGGGAAGACAGAAAAGAAAGGGAATGAGAGGAACACAGAGAAATAGCCTTCAGTGAGAAATAAAAAAGAAGGTAAAGGTAGTAGCTACAAAGAGATCAAAGATCAAGGCTGTGGGTCGTTGGGAATAGAAGAGTCTACATCGACAAGAATAATCTTAAATAGAATGTTGATTTGACCTAGATATCGTTATTTTTTTCCGAAAACATCTCATACGAGTATAATACTCAATTATTGCTGCAATCTTACGATTGCATTAAAAATAATGTGTAGTTTATTTTAAGCACAATTATTTATTTAGTAGCAGTAGAGCTCCTTGTGAAAAGGTTCGTCCAGGGAAGTACTGCCACCTTACCTATTACTGCCGCCACGCAGTAATGTAAGCACTACTGCGCTCAGGTTTTGAAGGGTAAGGTTGCTGTTGACATTACGACACATGGAACTTGTCAACGTAGTTCAAAGTGACGGGCGCTGTGGCAGTGCTAGTCAGATCTTTGCGATTTAAAGCTCGGAGTGGCGCTGCAACTGCTATGGACAGGCATGTCGCTTACCACCAGACACACGACTTATTCGTCCCGTCACATGATATCATAAAAAAAGTCAATGTTATCATCACATTACACTTAAATTCGTATCACATGTTGTTACATAAGAGAGATTTTCAAAATGTATACTCATGCTATTTAAGTAGACCATCTTAATAGTGCAAGAATGTGCAGCGGCGCGATGCGAGGATGCCTTATGGACTCCTTTCAACTCTGCGCGGGCAGGGTACGGTGTGATGGGGTGAGCGGTGGCGATGTGTCAGTGTCAGTTAGTGTCAGTAGCTCTAACACCCCACACCGTTTGGCACATATACCTTGCCCGCATCCCTCGTACACATTCCTCGCGCACATCTCTCACACACGTCTCTCGCCATTTTGGATGTATAAATACTTAGCTCCGCTAACCTTTTTCCACCGGATCCACGCTAAGCGAGGCTACGAAAATCAAGTAATCCTATTGGTAGATTTTTTCCTCGCACACCGCCTCGCTACGCCGCACATCTCTGGTGGAAAGGCAGCCTTACAGGAAATGCGTAAATTTGTTATTGAAATTAATTTCCTTGTATATTCCGTAATTGCATGGTTTAACCTTATTTAATGTGAACTTTGGGTTTGTGGAGGTAATATGGAAATTTTAGATGATTAATTGATTAGTTATAGGACTTATGACGTGTTAAGCGGCCATTCTCACATTCGGTGTTATCAGCCTAATTACAATAACTATAGTTTTTGTTTTACGTAATATACCCAATAACATTGACATACGAACAACTTTAAGCTAAACTATCAATATGTCTAAATGGCATTAGAATAGACAAAGTACTTTTCGAGTTATTACTTAAACTATTTATTTTTTTCCATCCTCTAAGAGTTATTAACACAAATATGTTATGGAAACGGGAGCCATGGATACTGTAATTAGAAAGTTCAAACATTTAAATGGCTACGGTAATTAGGTTGAGAACACTGAATGCGAGAAGGGCCGTAAGGGTCATGTATTCCTTAGATTCGTCATAAACAGAGAACGAAGTTCACTATCCTTATCTAGCGTTTCAGTTTCATTGTCTTTTTTTTACAACATCAAGTGACGGGACGAACAAGTAGTGTGCCTGCTGTGCACCAGATTCAAATTCATTTATTTCTCAAATTCAAATTACACTACATGTCAAAGTATAAGAAATTATATTGACATCGTCAGACAAAAATGAAAATTATAAGAAAAATACACACCAATTAATTAGGATGCCAGAAACATCAACAGTACCAAATGAAGAAAGATTATTTCTAACGTACTTTATAATTTTGTATATGTAGAGTGAGTAGTGCGTCATTATGCGTTGCGCTACAAAGAGATTTCTGCAGGAATGTTTGTGTTTTACCCCAACCAATACGCGTATGGCACGTTTTTGCATTAGCATGACTCTATTGGCATCCGTGGAGTTACCCCATATGAGTAAACCGTATGACATCAGCGAGTGGAAATGTGCAAAATAGACCTGTCTTAATGCAGAATCAGAAATTAACAATTTTCGTTTACGCAACGCAAAGACTGCACCACTCCGTCTATCACACACCGAAACATAAGTTAACAAGTCCCATTACCTGTAACTGTACTTTCACCAAAGGTTGTCTAAAGATTTTTAATTATTTCAGCCGAATGATTCGGTTTCAACGCGGCATGACATTTGAGAGATCGAAAATAACCATACATGGCCAACGGTTTGTTACAAGCTAGGTTTTGTTCTTCACGGATTCTTTCGAACAGTTAATCCTTATTTTCAAACTATGCGTTGATTGCAGAGTGCACAAGCTGTAATGATGAAGATCTTGGCGTAACACGATGGACGATGCCTTTGCTCAAGTCTGGAGAGAAGAGGTACTACCTCGGGATATTCTTTAAGGTGAGTCAATCTCTTGAAAAATCACGAATCATCCGGTATTTTTTCGCCTATATTAACATTTTTTTCTTTTTTTTTCTAATAAAAATCCACTCATACAGAGATGATCGTTGAAAATGAACGGGTTCATACAATAACAAATTAAAATAAAAAGAGATTTTATTGTTGTTGTAAAGGTCACTGCGTTTAAGCGCTCGTTATAATAGGTCATTGAAAATTGGATGGTTTTATCTAATTCAAAATGTGATCTCAGGTATTTGTTTTATTAGGAAACAAAACGGTCAGTGTTTCATTGACGGTCCATCAATCTTAGCAAAGTCATCATAAAAACAAAGGTCATTCAAAAGGTCCGTACGAGTACGAGTAGGTATTTTATATTGTATCATAACATTTATATGTTGACAATAAAAACTATTTAATAACAACACTTTTTATAACACTTTATTTTTAAATATGAACTGATGATCTTACTTGTAATTAAAATAAGTTAATGGTGTAGGGTGTAACCAATCATGTTTAATTTTTTGTGTTTTCTTTTTTTTTCAATGTAATTTATTGCCTAGATCTGTCGGTGTGCGGTCAAACCTTAACTGGTATTTGTTACACAGTTGGCAGTCTAGATTCAACTTTTCTTTGTACCTATTTCTTAACTAATAAATGACATTTATTTTATTTATAATTAGGAAAGTATGTTATTTATTTACTATATACAACTTATAACTTGCCCAATTAAACGACTCTACGTAATTACATAAATAACACTTATAAAAGTCTTAAAAACACGGGAAATGACCTTTTAAATATAAGTTTAATAAACAGATTGAGGGGTCGGAGGCTATTGGTAACATTAAGCTTTTTATGATATTTGTGTTCTGTCTGGTAACGCCAGGTATAGTTTCTCTGAGCTCGCACCTCCTTACCTTTCCCGTCCTAATCCGTGCTACGCCATAGCCATACAAATCGCCAGTGAAATTAAAAAATAAGTGTGACGTTACATTCAAAATTGAAAAATCCGCATCCGCATCGCAAATATATTATTAAAATTAAATATCCCGCTTCTCCGCCCGGCATTGAGCTGCGTACGCTATATATTAAATGGTGGCGTTATCGGTGATCAGCCGCACGTGAAGGTGTGAATGAGACGAGCTCTACGACTTTTCGGATATAAAGGTTGGTGGTAGCACGGTTCCATTTCCTTTTACTTGCGAGCTCATCCTTTCCAGCAGCTCCCCACGAGCTATCGAAGGTCGTTTTTAAATTTTTTATTATAGCGTCACCACTGTCTATATTAAAGTTATATATCTGGCTTTGAATAATTTGTCACAGATTATGTAAGTACTTTTAATTATTCATAATATAAGAATAAAATGGTAATTGGATCGAAGTTTTGAATTAATGGGTCCAAGTGGATATTGGGAAATCCATTTGTATTTATAACTTAGATAGTCACATTTGAAACAGGTCATTGAACTTATGGCAGTGGTAAATAAGTGCTCGTGTGATATTCAATAACATAATTGGCAAAAATATCAGTTTACTTGTTACGCGCGTTGCATACAAACTTCGTGCATGAGAGAGTCTACATAGCTGTACGTATGTACGTTTTACGTACAGCTATGTAGACTTATATTTTATATATCTTTACTAGCGTTGTTGCGAACATCAGCATCCGCATCCGGTAATCCCAATTTAAAAAATGTCCACATCCTCATCAGCCTCCGCATTGATTGATGCTGGTATTCATTATAATATTTTCGCATCGTGACATTAATTTACAAACCATCCAGAAACAAACTGCAAACCCAAAAAAGCAGCTCCGCCGTCGTTCGTACTTTGTGAAAAAATGTCAATATGATTATAAATATAGATGAGATAGGCAGGCTGATTGATTTTATGCGTGTTCTTTTTTTGATATATGTGTATATTTTTTTCATAAATGTCATAAAAGCATTGAAAAAATGTAAAGCATTAAAATATATTTTTCATGTAGAGACTATTAAAGATCTGTACATTTTTCACGATTTTTTTTAAATAGACAAAACCAGCAACTGCATCAGCTGGTGTGTAAAAAACTTGCATCTGCAACAAGCCTGATCGTACTTTATACCTTTGTACTAGATATAGTTAAGCTATACAGGCTCTAATCGTTAAGTGTGTCCAGGGGCCATACCATGGACTCTTATTACGATTCAGTTTATGACCTAAAATGAATCGTTGTGAGACAGCGTTACATGAAGTGTATATCACCATCCCGCTTCCTTGTCGTTACGAACCTATACTGAACTGTAATAAGAGTTCATGGTAAGGCCCCAGGTGTCATAATTTCGTAAATATAAGAAATATCACAAACCCTTAAACTGATATCTAAAGTACGTCACTAATAAGGAAAACGACATCAGTCAATAACTTTTTAAAAATAAAACAAGAGCCTTTAGAGAGGCAACAACAAGTTTACAGACAACGAAACTGCTAAACTATCTTTTAATTGAATAAAAACAAATGTTTATTTTTAGTAAGTACAAAATGTTATATTCAAGTCAGTTGTTTGTAGTAGAAAAACTAAAGCCTCTATGAAATTAAATGTGCGGTAGTGTTTAATGTTAAAATATTGAATATTTATAGTTTTATTTTGAAAGCTATTGATGTCGTTTTACTCATTAGGTGACATACTTCCGTTATCAGTTTAAAGATTTTTGATATCTCTTATATTTACGGTATGATATCCTGGGCACACTTTACGATTACACCCTGTATAGGTAAGGTGGAGACGCAAAGGAGTAGAACATAAAAGCACATTATTAAAGCATTCTGCATCGATGAACCTGTCTACCTTAGCTGCTGTAGACATCTCGTAACAGTCTCTATATCATTTGCGTTTAAAGCTGTAACCGTAAATCTACTTTAAACCCAGACGCAAAAAGAGTTACAAGTTTGAAGTAAACGTCTGTGTATTTTTGTGTTTGCATGTCTTATCTATGGCGTCGTAGAATTTAGACGACTGGACTGATCTAAAGCGCAGGCCACATCGCGAACGAAGCTAGCTAACTTAGTTTAGCTCTCGTAATTGGATGCAACCAACTATGCCAGCTTTTTTTTTCGTGGGGAAATCCTCCTAGGATACCTCTCAGCCGTGGGGGTAGCTGGAGGTACTTCTACCGACTAAAACCTCACGGTGGCCTTCTCGGGTGATGTAGCGGGAGGGATCCGGGATCGACTATGCGCACCGGAACCCCCCGCGGCACCTAGGAGGACCTACGTCCTCCTTTCCTCGTCACGACGCAGCGGGCCACACCGCCCCGTCGTCGCCAAATCGGCAGCCGCGAGATCGGCCCTCTCCCGATCACGCTCGGCCAGCTGCTTCCGAGCGTGATCACCTCTTCACAGAAGCCTCTCTGCCTCATGGAACTATTGCCCCACCAGCAAAGCCGCGACTATGCCTGGCGAAGAGACATCTCGCCCGATCCGGGCAACCAGGGTGTTCCTCTCCGAGGCCCTGGTGAGGCACTCCTCCAGCGTGTTCTGCACTACATCGTCGACTCGCGTCGGATCTGATTCAGATACTCACCGAACCATCCGTGACCGGTGAGTATCTGTGTCAGCCGGAACGTGGTGAACGCACGTCCGCTAGCTCAACCAGACTTCGAGGTCGAGCAGGATCGCTGACGCGAGATCCTTGGCTGCTCCAGCCCCAAGTCCAGCCACCGCACTTCCGACGACGCAGCTTCCTCTGCCTGGAGCTAGCTTAGCTCACGTAGTTACGTACAAAGTTAAGAAGGGGTGAAGGGCGGCAAAAGGACGACATATTTTACATAGCTAGCGGGATTGTTGGGCTAGTTTAGCTTAGTTCGCGGTGTGAACCGAAGTATGAAAAGACGCTCCGGCTACGTGACCTAAGCTAAGATAGCTTAGTTTCGTCCGCGATAGGGCCTGCGCATTAAAGCGTTTTTTTTTTAATTGAAGACTAATTTTACCGATATGGTTTTTTGTTTTCTTTTTTATAACACGAAGTGACGGGACGAACAAGTCGTGTGTCTGGTGGTAAGCGACACGCCTGTCCATAACAATTGCTGTGCCACTCAGAGCTTTTAATCGCAAAGATCTGAGTGGCACTGCCACTGCGCCCGTCACCCTGAGACGTAAGTCGACAAGGCCAATATACTTATAATTTCACCAGCACCCTTACTCTTCGAAACCGGAACGCAGTAATGTTCACAATTGATGAACATCAATTCAGCTGTATACGGTACATGGTATTGCCACTAAAGTGAAGTCGTTATCTGAGTCCTCGATTCCATGAAGTTAATAACGACTTCACGCATTAACTGCAAACATGCAGTCAATCTGTTAACAGCCTAACGCAATTGCATTTTGTAACTTTCGAGATATCGATGGCCTAGCGCACACTTGTACTAACTACAGTTTTGGAAATTTTACAGTAGAGTAATTTGAAAGTTTGACTTCGAATTCCAGAAACAACTCGCTACGTATGAATGATTTATTAATAACGCACACACTCATCATAGCCCTGCACAAGGGAAACCCTCTGTCGCGACTGCCATGGACACACACATAGACAACCACAAATTACACCCAACCACCGGAAATCGAACCTAGGACAATTACGAAATAGTGTAACTATTAAGTAGCAACTTACTTTACAACTCAATGGCTCTTACACTAAGCTTGCAGAATTATCGGTCAATTAAAACGAAAGCCCATGCAAGTAGACATTTGGGTAGACATGTATAGCGATTTATACTTTAGATAATTAAAAAGACGCGTGATGCGAATGAAGCTTCATACTTGATACTTGTCTTTTAATTTTGTCGAATATTACTTATTTGGCAGTAATTGTTTCGGACGGATGTCGGACGGAGATCGACAGTAGACCCCCAGATACTCACCGAACCATCCGTGACCAGTGAGTATCTGTGTCAGCCGGAACGTGGTGAACGTTTGGGTAGACATGTATAGCGATTTATACTTTAGATAATTAAAAAATT